GAATTCTACATGGTTTGCATTGTATCAGGAAAACGAGAATTCATAAAATTTATTGAAATGTGACTTGATAAAAATTTCCAAAAAGTGAAAAGGAAATTTTGCAGCTGCAAATGTTCAACAGTATACAGAAACATATAGTTTTTCCGTTCTCAGTATTACTTCAAACTGCGTTAGTACTTTTAAAAAATCTAATAAAAATCACGCAAGGAATAATGAAGACGACCCCGGCATTATAATTTAATTTTCACTATATACCCTCCCCCTCAAGTATATTCTCAATTTCGTGGAGAGGTGGAATTTTACCTGTAATTCTTAAAAATTCACGACAACAAAGAGAAATTTTCTCCGTCCATTGTTTGGGAGCTGGATCATTTCAAATGCCCGCAATGATATCTCCCTCCGCAAAAAACTAGATATCATGAAGCAAAACAAGAGAAAATGTCCCTCTGTCCCCATATTTATTTTCTTTCCTATGAATAAAATTTCCGGGAAAAAATAGAAGATCGTAATGGGAACTTCTGGGACATTGTCCTAATTTTTTTGCTCCCTTTTTTTCCTACGGGATTACAGTATCTAGTTGGTCCCCCTATTTTTCCACTTTTTTATCCGGCCGCCTCCCTCACCCCCGGCTAGATATTTTTTTATCCAGCCAATATTTCTCCGTTTCGTGTGACTCACATAATGGCTTTTCTATACGCGACGCAGTCTAATGATTTATACTCAACGGCTTTTATGTATTTCCAGTGCAGCAGCATTACATTCTCTTTTTTTTAGTTTTCTCACCCCAAGAGAAAGGGGATTTCGGTTATGCGGGGAGAGCAAATTTCACTCGGGGGATGTAGGCCCTTAATACAGTGTCGTATTTGATTCCGGTGTATCGCTAAGTACAACCTCTATATATCTATATATATAAATCGATATAATTAATAGGTTTGGCACCAGATCGGGTAACATATGGCCTTCGTCCTTTTTTGGTTTCTTTTTTTTTTCAGGGAACACAGAGGACCAAGCCGACACCTCAAACGGGCAACCGCACCTCGGAGGGATTAGGCTTACAAAAGGACTCGACGAGGTAAACCCCAATGAGTAAAAAAAGAAAAATATTTAAAAAATAGACCAGAGGATTCTCCGACTTGCATGCTAATTCGTAGCGCGGCATTTCTCTCAGTGTCCCATTTTTTTCGGGTAGAATTTAATTTGGATACCACGAAAGATGGGATCTCCGTCGCTTCCTTTCAATCGGATCATCTCTCCTCCTTTTTTCCCTCGGAAATTCAAAAATCGAATTTAATTAATTCTCCGTTGTTGCGAAGCGGACTAAAATCGCCGGCCCTTAAGCCTGCACTAAATCGTCGACACAATCGATACGTAAATAATAGACTCTCATCACGTATTTGATATTCGATAAAATGACCTCCAACTCAAGAAGTTATCATTTGCATTCCCCCTTGTCATTGCCGGGGAGTCCAGCGATATAAACCACATTGGCAAAGTACATATATTGCATAAGGAAAAAAAAGATAATGAATGCCAACCCTTTTACGGGTGTAGGACCATCTCTTGCACGCGAATCGCTCCTGTTACTATACTTAGCATAATTTCATCGAATCGCACATAATCGTGCAGCTAAAGGATAGAGTAGTAACAAAAGTACCGGCATTTTCGTGTCGCACACGCTTGTTCGGGTGGTACATTAACATAAGGTCTTCAAAAATAGCACGACTAAACGCATGGGCTGACACGTGGCTGTACCCAAAAGCATTACACACGAGCCGAGAGGAAATAATAATAATCGAGTCGAGTAAAAGGGTTGTTAACAGATTCATTTCACATCGTAAATAAAACCCGGAATATTTCTCTCTTTATGTAAATAAAATAGGAATTTCAAGGGGTGCACTGCTATTTTTTTCTCCTCTCGGTTTTAAATTTTTCAGTCAATGCACGCGTGCCCTTGTGAATGGAGGATCTAGTTTCTACAAAGACGTTTGTACTGGCACCTTCAATTTTTTTTTTTTATTCAAATATCTCAACCCTCTGGAAATATCTCCAACCCTCTAGGAATGCCAAATTGACATAATGGATATACGCGAGACGTGTGCCCTTATTCAACTATATAAAAAAGTCAAGAGTATATGGGCGAAATCGATTTCCAAATGTCGACAAAATATACACGAGCGCTTTTTCAGATTCAAATTTCTTCACGACGAGGTAACGATTGTATGATTTTTATTATGAAAATGACGGCAGTCACCCTCCTAGAATTTTAGATGGGAAATCAGACGTACCACGAGGGTTGGAATTTTTTTTTTCAGAGTTATGCCTTCAAGCCAGTCATCAAGAGAGTTTTCGGTGATACGTGTGTGTGTGTGTGTCAGTGTATGAGGAGAATTTTCCAATCATGCTGAAGAATTTCGTTTCTCGGAGGCGTCTGAACGAATATTTTTCATCAGGCCATTTTCCCTTTAATCTACTGCTCTATTTCTGAAGATTCGTTTTACGTTGTGTGGCCTCAACCGCAGGAATTTCTCAAGCATTTTGAAGAAGTTGAATTAATGGATACGTTAATTACTCCGGCACGAAGAGGATGTGGTACTCGAAAAAGGAATACCTGGGTGAAAAGTCAGGGAGGCGGAACTCAATTCGTAGTTGTTAATCAGTGGCTGTGCGACGTTATTACTCGAGAAAAAAAATGAGTAGACAATTAGAGAAGGACATTTGAGGGAGGCTGATGGAGCTTCTTTCAGTCTCAAGTTAGTTCCAAGAAGGCCAAGAGAGGTAGCACGAGATAACTTCAACTGGGGGGGTAATAACGGTTGTTGGTACGAAGCTGGTAAATCGTCATGATTTTTTTTATTCTCAGTTTACTTGAAAAAAGGCATTTCAATGCCTCTTAGGGAGGGCATCGATACTCGAGGTGAGGGATTTTCAGGGCCACCTGAGGAGATGACACGGAGAAAAAAGTTGGGGGAAAAATTACCAAACGAATCGAGTTACAACTAGAAAAAAATGCGAAATAAGTGGTAAATTATCACTCAATGTGTAGAAATTTTTTTGTACCGGAGGATTTTTAGAGAATTTTACCAAACACTCTACAGTGAGTCGCAATGAATGTATCTATTACAGATGTAAATAATGATCTGAACAAATGTTAAACAGCATTTACATGAACAATTTAATTAGGAGCTTCTAGCCTTCTCAAACCCTCCTGCCCCAATGACGTTCACACGGATTAAGGCCATTTGCATTAGTTAATTCGATTAAATATAGAATGGATAAAATAATAAAACCTACCCGTGTTTAGGTCACGAGGGTGTAACCACCTTAGTGCTTCCCTGTCGTATTTGATTTGGTGTCTGAGGCGTATTAATTTGTCACTTGAATTATGTACTGCCATGAGACTGATAGACTCATCAATAAAACATTCTCTTATGACAGACAAATTACCTGTATATTTTGTTTCTCTTTATTTAATTTCACCATTTAATTTACAGGCAATCCAACAGCACTAGTGAACATCATTACACTGCATGCGTACATCGCACTCCCTTCATGATAAAATGAGGGGGAATTAGGATGAGGATTTTCAATACGAAAAAAAATGATAATAAATAAAAAATAACAAAATTAAAATTAATCTTTCGATAGTATAGCTTTATTTTAGACTAGAACGGAAGAAAATAATATTAATATAATAATAATCATATAAAATAATAAACTATATACACAGGAGTTATGGGACCGACATACATAACATCGTGAGTTGTATATATATATATATATAGTTGTATGTATATATATATACGTGAGCGTACTGTCACTTACATGTGGTTTCTTCAATCATCTCTAATGTCTATTTACTCATTTTATTCTCTCTCTCTCTCTCTCTCTCTCTCTCTCTCTCTCTCTCTCTCTCTCTCTCTCTCTGTCTATTATTCATTTTTTTTATTCTGATATCTCTCATGATCTCAATGTTCGATGGTAAAAAGTGAAGAAGCGCACCGCCACACCCTCGACAGCCTCACACAGACCACAAGTGAAATGAAAAAAAAAATGAAAAAAATAATAATGAAAGAATGAATGACCTTTCCTGAACGAAAAAAAAAAATCAAAGAAAAATAATAAAACAGGGAGAGAAACCCCAAGGCTCCTCGTGTTTGGTCGGTGTGGGCGGCTGAGAGTAAGGCGATTCACATGTAGAAAAAAAAACTCATAAATAACTAACGCATAAAACAATAATGATAATTAATGGATGGGTCGTTTGGCGATTAATAGAAGACCATTAACCTTGATGTCATTCTCTGCATATTTTCGGATTTTTTGTCTCGTTATGTTCATTTATCTCATTTCCAATGGGTTTTTTGCTTTTATCCACTTCACATGAGGGCATTGTGGAGAGGTATTGCCACCCCCCTGTGGGCGTACGTGAGTGGGCTTTTTCAATGTGCAAAATGGAAGGGATGCGTGTGTGTGATGTTGTTTGGTGTTGGTGTATAAAAGGGGGACAGAATCGGGACCAATCGAGTGAAAGATAGGGCCCACTCCTACCTCCCTCCTTTTATACACCAAGTTACATGAGACTAAAGGGCTGAGGTATTTACAGTGAATGCGACCGGTTGCTACGATAAAACAACCTCTGTGCGGACGCAGAAAGATGACACGGTGTCTTGGAATGGCTTCGTGGGGGGAAGGGAAAATAAAGAGGACCAGTGATGTTGACAATGGAGAGAGAGAGAGAGAGAGAGAGAGAGAGAGAGAGAGAGAGA